TATGTATGTATGTATGTATGTATGTATGTATGTATGTATGTAGCCCCCTGTAACCCCTTGAAACCCCTTGTAATCCTGTTTATAATCCCATGTAATTCCTTGTAATCCCCTGTATCCCCTTGCAACTGCCTTGGAACCCCATGTAAGCCCCTGGAAGCCCTTGGAACCCTCTATAACCCCTTGTAACCAACTGTAATGCCTTATACCCCCCGTTACCCCTTGTAAGCCCCTGGAACCCCCTGGAACGCTCGGTAACCCCTTGTAAGCCCATAAAATCCCTTGTAAGCCCCTGTAAACCCCTTGGAATTCCCCGGCAACCCCTTGTTATCCCTTGGAACCTCCTGGAACCCTCGGCAACCCCTAGTAACCCCTTGTAAACCCATGTAATCCCTTGTAACCCGTTGAAACACCATTTAACCCCCTGTAACCACCTATAACTCCCTGCAACCCCTTATACCCTCTGTAACCCCCTGAAAGCCCTTGTAACCCCCTGTAATCCCCTGTAACTGCTTGTAATCCTTTGTAACCCCAAGTAACCCCAGTATCCCTTTTAACCCCTTGTGAGTCTGTAACCCCTTACAAGCCCAATAACAACTTGAGTGACCATTGTCTATGAAAGCAGACCCCTCAAGTGTAATCATAAAGTCTCAGGTATAATCATGAGTCAGAATTATGTAAGTCATATATAATAACCAGCAAAATTTAATTTAAATAAATTACTGAGGCAATCAAGTTAATTTAACCGTTTAGAATGTGCGGAGATATAAGCAATTTTTCCAAATTTTTGTAAGTTACGTGCTTTAGGTTTGGGGTACTGCCCATATTTTGAACAATATATTAATGTTAACAAAGAAAGTTGAATCACTGTAAAAAAAAGTTTATTACTAAAATGCTATGGAATTCTTTTAATTACGAATTGCAAGAGCTTAATCTATTACAAAGTGCATTTCAAAGTACAACAAGGTCTACTACAAATTGCGATAATTATTAACACAAATTGCGACACTATTATTGCACGGTGTTTTCTGTTCCTGGGGACAATCGACTTGTCTTCATTGATATGCTCGTTTTTGGATGCCGTGTTTAGAAAATGAAAAAAAAAAAGAAAACAGATAAAAAGGTCAGGGAGAAGTTCACATAGGCCACTTGCTACGAGTATGTTAAAACCAATTAATTAGAAAAACGTTGACGCAGTTTTCCCCAAAACCCCGGTTGTCTTCTTTGGCAGTGCTTGTGCACTTCAGTTGAAGAATTCTTACGAGTACATGAGATTTTCCTCCACTCCCCAGTTCATTTCTGTGGTCTGTTATGATAGAATACGATCTTGGAATCGTACAACTCTGATCGCGTTGAAGGGGAAGAAATGAGGCGAGGTCTGATTAAAGATCACTTTTGGCTTAAACATTTTTGGTGCCGCGAGCCTTTTTGCAACTAATTGTAGCACAGTTAAGGAGGCTCGCACTAGTTTTCTCGAGTGGGGAGTCCATCGTGCTCGCTTATCCCACCTCTCTTTGTGCGGGCAAGATACAGAAAGTAAATATGGCGGCGCGGGGCTATTATTTTTTGTGCAAGTTTTTATGGCTCCAGTTTNTTTTAATTACGAATTGCAAGAGCTTAATCTATTACAAAATGCATTTCAAAGTACAACAAGGTCTACTACAAATTGCGATAATTATTAACACAAATTGCGACACTATTATTGCACGGTGTTTTCTGTTCCTGGGGACAATCGACTTGTCTTGATTGATATGCTCGTTTTTGGGTGCCGTGTTTAGAATATGAAAAAAAAGAAAACAAATAAAAAGGTCAGGGAGAAGTTCACATAGGCCACTTGCTACGAGTATGTTAAAACCAATTAATTAGAAATACGTTGAGGCAGTTTTCCCCAAAACCCTGGTTGTCTTCTTTGGCAGTGCTTGTGCACTTCAGTTGAAGAATTCTTACGAGTACATGAGATTTTCCTCCTCTCCCCAGTTCATTTCTGTGGTCTGTTATGATAGAATACGATCTTGGAATCGTACAACTCTGATCGCGTTGAAGGGGAAGAAATTTGGGCGAGGTCTGATTAAAGATAACTTTTGGCTTAAACATTTTTGGTGCCGCGAGCCTTTTTGCAACTAATTGTAGCACAGTTAAGGACGCTCGCACTAGTTTTCTCGAGTGGGGAGTCCATTGTGCTCGCTTATCCCACCTCTCTTTGTGCGGGCAAGATACAGAAAGTAAATACGGCGGCGCGGGGCTATTATTTTTTTGTGCAAGTTTTTATGGCTCCAGTTTTCTGGGAAAATCTTTAAAAACAGACCTTGAGGAACAGAGTCGGTTTAACATTGTGGGAAACTGCCAACCTACCTACCCCTCCCCGGACCCTATAATTTGTCCCAAGGTGAGAATTTAGTTTGAATGTCGGATCAGGGGGAGAGTGTAGGTGAGGAGTGTCAAATCTGTCCTCTATACAAGGTAGGTATTTTGAGGGCTTTTCGTCCTCGGAAAGCCTTTAAGGCCTTTAACAGCAACGCCATGCGCAAACGTGCGCCAACTATCCCCGGTCTCTTAAATACCAGCAAAGTCCTAATTCCTTTTACTGTGGGCCAAGGTTATAAGGCCGGGCAGTGGGGTACTCAAGAAGTGTTATGCGGGGAGGCTCCGCCCCGAGGTCCAACCCCTCAACCTTTTAGGTACTATTTTTGGAAAGAAATGGTACCCCTTTCATATACCTTGTTTAGAATTCTATCCTTTTAACTACCGTAAATGCACCGTCTTAAAAGTATGAATAAATCACAAAACTAGAATGTTTTCTCGACTCCTTCACAGCCATAAAATGCATCTGTTAGCTCTTTTGGGCCTTTTTACTGACCGAAATGACAGATTTCCCTACCATTTCATATGCTTTGTGAAATACCTTCCCTCATATACCTGAATCCTGAAAAAGGTACCCCTTTCGGGTGGGGCCGCCCCGTGTGGGCCATTAAAGGGATTACCCCCGGATTACAGGTGAAATATTTTTAAAAAAATAGACTAAGAAGGGAAGGCCCTCCCTCTTCGAAAAATAAAAAACGCGTTTTGAACTGAATGAAGAGTCGCTGTTGTATCAAAGGGTTTACTTTTGAGAACTCGTTATATTGATACAGTTTTATTGTTGAGCTGCATTAAAGCGGTATTCCTGTAAAATATTGATCCGGGCTTCAATTATTTTGTGTGTAAAAAGCAAGAGCCTGTCATGTTTCCTTTACAGAAGAAAGATTTCACGACTTTGCCAGTTTTCCCTTTGCGTCCAAATATAATAATCGGTTCACTCACTCAATACATTTTCAGAGGATTTACACCTAATTTCAGTAACGTTGTCGTAGAAAAATGAAAAAAGGAAAAAGCCAAATAGGAATTAATTAGGCTAATTAAGCCACATTCTCAGGGTGGATTCATTTGCCGCTGCTGCATTTCTCCGCTGGAATTTTTTTGATTGTTTTTCAGCTTTAAAACAATAGCAAATTCCAACAGGCAAATAGGACGTCCATGTGTGGATGCTGCATATGAACTGTTTAGGCTTATTAGCCTAATTAATTCCTATTTGGCTTTTTCCTTTTTTTCATTTTTCTAAGACAACGTTATTGCAATTAGGTATATCTGAAATGCTATTTAATGCTTGCAAGTCCCAAATGCCCTGAGGTGTATGTGGTAAACAACCCTGGTTCTTGCCACATAGACACGTGCAGTAAGAAAATCGGATCAGAAATTATTATTCAAATCAAAACGTTACTCCGCGCCACATTCAAAAATTGATAGCTTTGGTTGCGAAAACTGGGAAAGGTTGTTCATGAAAGAGAAACAAGACGTTCTCACATAAACGTGCTGTCCGTCTTTCACAGCTTCAATGCAGGAAAGATAACTATGAAAGCCGCCTGGGATGTCAAAACCAGCCGCGCACGAGGTAAATTACTTGTTTAAGTGTCAATTCGGTGGTCAGAAATTTGTATTCCGCCAAGTCCAACTTAAAATTATTTGAACTGTTATTTAGTTAGTTATCAGTCAGTTGGTGACAGTTACCACCGTTTGACGGAAGTTTTGATAAATCTCATTACGTCATGATACTGACAGCTCCTTTAAAAGGTTTGATAAAAAACCATAAATAGCCGAATTATATTTGTTTTCGTTATTAGTTTCGTGCAAGATGAGCGTGGAATATATAGCAAACGTGGGAGTCATCATGCAAAGAAAGAAAGCTGTTTTTTTACAAATCGAAGACTTTTTTTGGTGCAGTTGTAATGTTGAATTTATCAATTCCGCTACGAAAACTAGAGCGTAACTTCAAGTGGAGCTTCTGAATTCTTCTTTTAATTAATTAATGCCACAAAATACTGATTTAAACATAAACATAGACAGCAATAATCATCTAATGAATGAAGATTTTCAGTGGTTTTGTGGAAATTTTTTGCCTGATTTCAATTTGCTTGCAAAAAAAAAATGAAAATAAAAACGTTATAGCGACTATCTGCTGAGTGAAACGTAAAAAATCATAGCCGGCTTTCAAACCTTAATATTGGTTCAATGAACAAAATTTAATAATCTATTGCGAGCGTAAAGCGCTTAGATATCATTCCTCGAGCACTTTGAGACGGCGACAGAATGATATTCACTTAGAGATAGGGCCCTTCGTCTTTTTTTTTCCGAGCCGTTCCAATGGGTCTTAAGTCGCGCAATAATTAGAGAGTCCGCCTCGCTGGCTAAATCTTTTTGGGACACATTTACTGTTAGTGTAGCAAGCCTTAAAGCCTACCGTTTTTTTTTTATTGTGCAAAGCGATCACGGAAACTTTGTGTACTAGTCTATTCTTCAAATAGTCAGGATGTTCATAGTTTCCATACAAATCGTACATCTATCAAAACGTTTAGTGATCAAAACGGCCAGTATCTTTTAAGAACAAAATTGGAAAGAATTCACTTATTATTAATTTTTTTCTACGGCTTTTTTGTTCTTCAATCATCACCGCCGCGCCTGCCAAGCAGTTAAGGACTCAATTTCTTGCCACAAACGTATGCTCTCTTAGAATAGCACGATTCATCGTTCCATTTTCCAAGGTTCCTCGTCACATAATGTTCCGTGCAGTTTTCACCACTGTGAGCATTATTTGGCTCTTTAACATTCCAGTTTCTGAAGTCCACCATGGAGCCATCTACCCACTGATAGCTACGTTCTGTACTGTTTAGGTTGAACAGTCCGATCCAGGCAGACGAAATCGAAGAAGGCGTTGAAGCTTGGCCCGTTTTGCGCAAAAAATTATTCTCCTCTGCACTGTGAATTGAGGTAAGGGTACTTTTGTTGCTGGTACAAGACCAATGTGCGTCAAACCAGTTTAGTTTTTCCTTGAACACTTTAAAGCAAGAGTTATTGAAATAAACCCAGTCAGGTGGGGTGCATGTTTCTTTAAAAATAATAATAAAAGATAAAAGATTAGAACATGTATACATGTTTTGGAGGCATAGAGAGAGAAGGTTTTGGGCCACTTCAGTTAAGTACCATAACCATTCAGTTACACAAGAGAGATAAATCGGCTCATCCTCTGTGTAAGAACCTGTTAAACTCACGGGTGCCGTAAAACAAAGAAAACAAAGAAGTCAACAAATTAGAACCTAGGAAAACAAAAGATGCAAAACAAAGAATTAGTTCACATTCAGGTACTAACACTGAGGTAAACCCGATAAATCGTTTAAAGGTGTAAAGTGTAAAGTGTGAAGAACATCAACCAACCCCTTCTCTTGAGCTCTATTCTCCGTTCCTCTCCGTCGCCGTCGTCGTCGTCGTTTTGGTTTTTGAAATTGACATTCCCTTACAATACATTTTGTACACTAGGAGAATGGGTGCAAGCTAATGGCACAAAGTTTTTGGGATTGTTTGGCTAGACAATAGACCTTTGTCAAGCAGCGGCCATTTTGTCCCAAGAGATTAAAAAAGCTTTGTATTTGCACGGCTAGCTTTGCAGTGAGAACGAGGCTTGCCGCGCAAATACAAAGCTTTTTTAATCTCTTGGGACAAAATGGCCGCCGCGTGACAAAGGTCTATTATGCCATGATTGGTGAGTGGTTGCCTTTGGATACCATCCAGCAATCAAAACTCAGTAACGCTTGTCCACCCAAACAACCCCAGAAATCGTTGTAGCAAAGCTTATACTCCCTGTAGTATATTGGTGGTCAATTTAAGGCAAAACAAATAAAATGTATTATAACTACCTTCACAGAGTTTCCCATAAGAGTGAGGACCACATTTACACGTGAAACGTCTGCCGATGACGTTACAAGACTCACGACACGTTCCTCTCGATTCCTCCATTAAGGCAAGGATTGCTTTCGCAGCAGCTGTTCTGACAATCATGAGGATCAGACTGAAAAAAAGCTGAGCATAAAATTCCTCGACCTAAATAGCAGGTATAGCTACAAAACGTTGTTATCAAATATTTTTGAATTATAAATGTGGTCTTGTCTTCTTAGCATAAGTCCTTTAAATCGAAATCAGATTCCCACTTTATCCAGAATGGGAAACCATGCACAAGCTCCCGCAGAAATGGCTTGGGGGTCACTCTTACTCTGTGGTTCAGAAAGGCGCGTGAATGTGACAAATGATTTACAAATCAGTCACGGTGACCAATGTAACCTGTTTAGTCTTTCAAATCATTGTGGACAACATGTGCAACATTTTTTTAAAAGTTTATTTAATTTCTCTGGAGTCACACCGAACAGATGTCAATAAAAATGTCGTTGCTGATAAGCAGAAACCATAATACGTAGCTAGTGGTGTAGGTGTACTAGCACGAGTCCGAACGCCATGTATTACCGCGTATTTAATGCACTAGCAATCTGAATCAGACCTCATGGCCGGAACTTTGTCAGAATCCTGTATGAAAGCAACGGGGATATTAGTACGTAAGAATTCATGATTCATTGAGCATAATTTCTCTTAGTATCAAAGTATCATTTGTGTTATACTCTACGAGGGACTTCTTTAAACAAAGGGACGTTCCAGGCCTAAATAAATTATGCCAATTCAAAGAGGAAGGCCAGAAATTAACCTTGCAAAACCTTATAATCACGTTTGTTATTAGAAAACAAACTAGGATAGTAGAGCGATTTTCGCATGACCTAGAAAAATGGTTTCGGTAAGTGTGTGGTAAATTGGCCAATCGTGCTGCAGTATGACGTCAAAGCGAAGTATCGGTTCACTTTTAAAAAGAAAGTTCTAGGGCGTAACGTTTTTTTAACCCGAGCGTTCGCTTAATCAACCAAAAGCCACGCGCGTTTTTATCCGTTCGATAAACCAATCAAATCGCTCTATTTCCGTTCGCTTGCTGTTTCTGTTTTGTTCGCGCGCTTTCATCTCAAGGTCTTACAAAAATCGCTCTATTGTTAAACGTCATTAATGAGCGTCATTTTTTATTCTTCAGTGAAGTAAAAAGTGTTGTGTTTAATAGAAGTATATTTACCCATACCCTTATGTTGCTGTAGTCAATAACCAGATCGTAGTATTGCCAACCCTCTGCAAATTCCAAAGCATCGAAGTTAGTATATCTGTTTTCTTCGTTCAGTTGGCAGTTATGCTGGTCTGTGCTTTGTTTGAAGTTGAAAGAGATACACCAATATTCCAGTCGGCAGGCGTCAAAGCAGAATAAAGGCTTTCGAGCTGTGACGTTGCAAATCACGTGACCACGAAGGGCGTGGTTTTTAACCGTGTCCCTTCGGTGTCCCACGGTTGAAATGGTATGCATTAGTCATACAGGCGTCTTTTGCGTTAACCAGAAGCGTGGTCTGCAACAAGAGCAGTATGTCTTCAATAGCCAACTGGAAGAAGAATGGTCTGAAAAGATTAGTACCCATTGAACCTGCGCAATCGTTCTCCTAGACCTGGGTAGTACAGAGAAACAGATAAAATAATAAAAGGGACTGATAGATTAGAAGTGAACATTTTCATTGTATACTTACTCGTGAATAGGCAAAGGACTATGATTGAAGAATAGCAGTGGGAATTAAACAAAGAGGAAAAAAATCGTGAGAACTGGTCCCATTTGTGAGCTATTCACGCAAAAAATATACAAAAACTGCAAAAACATTGGATAATTGAATGGGTAATGAACCGAAATCCATTTAATGAAATGGCTGTGCTGCATAGCTTGCAACATGATATCAATTAAATCAACAACTGTACTTCTCAGTTGCAAAATTCATACCGGAAAAATATCAGCCCATTTCAAGCGTCATGAATAGTATAGTGGTAACAAAAATGGTCTTTCATGTTCACGCAAAGAGTCATAACGCAATCATGCTTGACCGAAAAAGTATATGATAACCTTATAAGAACAGTATCTATATAATTAAAAAATACATTTCAATTTAACGGAATCGCTTATCTCGCTAACAGAAAGGAGACTGTCGTGATGTCTGCAGACGTACATTAACGTTATTTGCTTCCTTTTAAACTATCAGTGATAATCGAAAAATCCACAACTGTATATCTTAGCTGTCTTTGGATCAGTGAGGCAATAGTTAAATTACCGAACATTCAAATTTTGGGCAACTTTCCAGAGTCCACGTTCTTATCTATTTCTCAACCGCAAAAAGAGGAAGTAATAGTGAGAATTGCTTTGATCATTTTCGATTTAGTAATTCTTAACTGAGACGGCCCCAGTGTTGCCAAATAACCAGTACTATTTCAAACCGAGTACAAAGCAGAGTACGGAAAATTGCTAATACTCACCAGAAATTGTAGTTGTTCAGCCATGTTGGCTATTCCACATAAACATGTCACTATATTGCTCTTTCCAACATGTCTCAGTCTTTTAAGGTTTTAAGAGCAGGTGTTTTCTTGAGCTAGTGGCAGTCGCCTTGTCTTCACTGATTGGCTCTTTTCTGGGTGCCGTATTTAGAATATTAAACATCGCAATATAGAGCACGAAAAGCGCGCACATGAAGCTACTTGCCTGTCTACAGCCAGTCACAAAAACGTTGAGACACTTTTCCCAAAAAACCCGGTTGTCTTAGTTTGGCAGCGCGTGTGTGCCTCACCGGAGGAACTCGTACGACAGGGTTACCACTGTCAGGGAAAAGTCAGGGAAAAACGAAAATTTTTCAAGGTTAGGGAGAAGTCAGGGAATTCTGTTTTCCAGTTTATAGTCATAAGTTTTCTTCAAGACTTTGAAATGCATTTTCTTTCGGAAAAGATGAAAAGTAAGTATGCTGCAAAGCAAGCAAAGCGATCAATTTGACACTCTACGCCTGACTTTTGTAATAGTTGTGGTCAGTGGTTTTCGTTGTGATTGATTTCTTCCAAATTCCTTCTTCCTCTTTCCGCGAAAAGCGGAAAAAGGTTGAAAATCAAGAGAACGATGTCGATGGTTCGCAAAAAAACTAAAGCGAACGTAAACATCGATTGTTTCTCATTAATAAAAGGTCAGTGAAAAAACTGTTTAAAGTTCAGTGAAAAGTCATCGCCCACTAATACTCATACGTTTCATTTTGTTAAATAAGCTGTATATCCGTTTTATATAGAGTCTGTTTAATATTTTCATTAAGCAGATGAATAAGATGAAGAAATATTTCTTTGTTTGTGACGAAAGCCACCCATTGGAGAGCGATTCATACGCACATTAGTTTAACAGTTTATTAAAAAACGTACTTTCGAATACAGATTATCATTTTGAGAGGTTATTGTTCTCTAACCAGCTTGTTATAAGTTTTTAAGATTTCCCCTGAAAAAAAAAAGTCTTTTCTTCTCCACCAAGTCCCGCACCCATCATGTCCACCAAGAAATGACGTACTTCACAAGAACAACGAAAAGTTTTTTTTTTTCGATTTGCCCCGCCACCTATATTCGGGACAGGAGCGCTTCAAACATTTTCTTAAAGAAAAATGGTATCATGAGTTTAAACCCAATCTACAATTTAGAAGCAAGATCGTTTCATCGGTTATCGAAATTACAGCGTTCAAACGTTCTTTTGAAAGGAGCGGTTTGGCTGGACAAAGGAAACTTTTAATCAATAGCGCTGACTCTTCCTCAAACGGAGGCAAAAGGTAAAGAAATGCCAGGAAAAACATCTTGACAAGATGGAGGAGCAATGAAGACCGGAAAGGATCAAACTCGTTCGAAAACATGACTATTAAAAAAGAACTCGTGTTTTTCATTAATGCGATCATTCCAACTCGTCCAAAATGCTATTTGTAGGTAAATTTCCCGGGAATTGAATTCTTCGCGACCAAACTCCATAAAACGTCGTATAAAGAAATTTCACATCGTGGTCGTGCAGTGACGGCAGCGAAACGTACAGAAAAAACAAGGATCATGCACGTTTGCTTATTTAACAAATTACTTTTTTGACGTTGTCGTCGCCGTCACCGTCGTCTTCGTTAAACTTGAGCCTATTCACTGACACATGGAGAAACGCTGCCAAGGGTAGACTAGTTTTAGTAAGTATTCTTGATAAAACTGTTGCAATATTTGCAATATTACAATGGCTTTTGATTGGCAATTTTAAACGTCAGCAGCAATAGTCAGGCCTTTTTGCATTAGTTGATCACGGGATCAACTTTCGGTAAACACGAAAACAGTTCGGTTTTGAAAAATTTTGTTAGAACGAGCTGAAAGAGCATATTACACTTAGGTACAGTCAAACCTCTATCAAGCGGTCACCTATCAATTTCCCTAAATTTGCTTCCCACTTTTACTGTAAATTTGACCTCTATTTAACGGTCACCTCTATATAAATGCCGCGTCACACAAAAGCTTAGAAATTCAAGTGTACTCTATCACAAAACCAAGAACCCTTTTGAAGCGAAAATTTGTATGAAAATTAGTTTTCAGCTGCTCTAATACATCGTGAAAGTAAATCTTGGTACTGATTGATAGATTTGTTGTTTAAATTTTAGTGACGTCATGTGAAAACCAATAATTAATCCAGTCCATGTTTTACCTCTCCAAGTCCATTCTATGTTAGGGGTGGACCATTAGAAATAACCGGAGAGGGAGGGGGGGAGGGGTGTGACAATTCCCCCCAAAAAATTGATGCGAGGGAAACTTGTCTAAAAAGAAAAATCTTGCAAGCAGTGGCCCCCCCAAAAAAAATCATGAGGCGGCCAGAAAAAAATCATGCATACAAGTCAGGTGAAAAAAAAAAAAAAATCGTGTACCGAGAAAGTTTCACCCCCTTCCGGTTATTTCTAGTTTCCACTCCTTAATTATCATATGGCGGTTATGACAGAGGCTTTTTCTCTTGGCGCCAATCAGGAGGCAGAACGACTCCGACCGTTTAGAACTGGTTCGGTAGAACAGTGAGCTCTATTCTATTCATTTCTTGGACGCCATTTTCGTTCGCGCATTTACAGTTTCCCTATCTTCATTGGCTCTCCGAGGATGGCTCTGATGGCTTTTAATCTGCCGCCGAGTAGTTTCTCTTTTCATTCTCCGGGTTTGCTAAAAGGGGAGGAAGCTCCATTGGTCGGTGGATACGATGACGAGTTTGTAAATGCAGTTGAAGACGATTTGCAGTGTTCAATCTGTCACCTACCGCTGAAAGATCCAATGCAGACGAAATGTGGCCACAGATGCTGCAAAACGTGCCTTGACGAACACTTCAAAAGGTTTGCATTTCTTATTTACGCGAAATGACTACTGTCCATATCATTAGGTAGTGTGTATGTCTGTGAGCAGATCCATTCTTTCTCGAGTTATGTTTGGTTCTGAGTGGAGTTTTTGAGTTGCTTATACTGCCTCTCAATTCCAATTCACTTCAGGTGACTCTGATACATGAAGGGTTATCCTCCTTCTTTAAATTTACTACTGAATCAGGCATTGTGCAAAGGTTTTGTAGAATAACAAAACATTTATAAAATGTATAGAAAACGAAGACAACGTTTCCAAGCGTTCTAGAATTAAAGAAAAATCGATCAAAACTTTACGGAGCTAATTCACGATCAGCCATGTTGGTCAAGGCAAGTGACCCATCTATCCTTATATTAGTTTTATTAGACAAAGAAGTAGGACAAATACAATCACAACTTTCATTAAAAATATGCCTTGGTCATTCGATCTATCTGGAGAATCTAAGCCTTCTCTAAATTTAGTCATTGAGCAGGAGGGTTGCTGAAACTTCTTTGATAATGACGTCTTAATTTTCGGTAGATCTCAGTAATTTAAATGATTGTGTATTAAACGCGAGTCTTTCATCGTGTGCTGTCTTAAAAAATACACTTCCTTTACGCTTCTCAGAAAAGCGGATTCGAATTATTTATTTACCTTTCGCATAATAATAGGATAATTGGACACGCTTCATTATCTCCTTTTTCTTAGAAGTACAGTACGTTTCTAAGAAAATTTGTCAGTAAGATTACACGTTGTTGCCAAGTTTCTGGCCAAAAAGAATTTACCCCAGTTTCTTTCCTTATTTCTTTTTATTTTTCCGTTGGTCTTTATGATTTTTTATCTTTTGCCGTAAAACGAAACATTCTGAAAACAAAACGAAACGAACAGCACAGATGCAAATTCGGATGGGGTTAGTGTCCTTAATGGTCAAAAGACTGCCGAGGACGAAGAGTTTTATTGACGCGAGGAATCTGAGCGTTTCACTACAACAAGTAAAGATAATTATAAAAATCCTAAGAAGCCCTCTGTATTTCTGAGAGACTGTAAATACAATATGAACGTGACCATCTAGACAAAGGTTTTTTTCTTCACACTTCTTCATCATGAAACAGTCCACGCAAGTAAAATCGGTTTTAAAAGCACAAAACAAAATTTCAAGACTTCACTCTAGGGGTGCTTTGTATACTTTTGTCGAATCCTAACAACGACATGAATGAAACATCAACGAAAAAATTGGGAATACAAATTCCTATTCAAAAGATTTAAACAATTTGTTTGCCAGTAGATCCTAAGTTGTAAGACTCTTCGCATCGTTGATGAAGTTTTCGAAGTTTCTGAAGGTTTGTTTTTGTCAAAAAACATTTCCATTTTTTGTTTCTGTTAAAACATGTATTTTCATCGTGATAAAACTGAATGTTCTGGAGCATTGAAGGCGAGTTACATCTTAAAAGCCCTATAAGGTGGTGTACCGAAGAGGCAACTCTTCTTTCAATTTATATGCTCCTCTTCCTGTTTTTATTTAGTAACAAAATAGTTTCATATGGGATATTCAAGCTATGCTTTTCCTTGTCTCAGAGGTTTTTCTTGAACATTTTTACCCGTGAGAGAGGACAACTGCACCAGGCCGCAGCGCCGAAAACGATTCGGTGAGGAAGAGAAATACCCCAGTTTCTTTTGGAATTGAAGTCTCACTCCCACGCAAGCAATAGGGTCAGAATCTGACCCTAGGGTGCTGATTGGTTGAAATTTTTACAACCACCCAAATTAATTTGATTATTTCGTATAATTTGAACTACCGAGAGGAAGGGTGAGGCGTCAGGATTCGTGAAGACAGGGCCGTAAACCGCTCTGAAGAGCGGTTTTTGTAGCAATGCGGTTCACTGGTTTCGTGTGGACGAGCGGCAGTTTCGTCAAAAAAGTATGCGGTATCAAAAACACCCGTTTTCGTGTGTACGTAGCCTTAGAGGAAAATTTGAACTTGGTACTCGAGAATCTATTTGCTCGCAGTCTTGAGTCGAAAGGTTGTGGTTGCCGTACTGTCCTGACATAAGTAGTCAATAATATTTCACTTGCTGTGGCCCCTGGACATGCCACTACTGGGCATCCAAAATAGACTTTTATCTTAATGCATACGCCACTTGTACATCTACAATAATGCACCTTATTTGTGCGCCCAAAATTTTGCATAAGCATTGTTTTCAGTTTCTCTTGGGACGGTTGTAATACCGAGGAGGAATGAAAAACAAAGGTTATGCAAAATTTTAAGGAGCAAATAAGATGCATTATGGGAGATGTGCAAGTGGCGTATTCTCAAGGAAAATGCCTTTTAAATGGATAGTTCGTGCTTCAATGAGATAACCTATTTGTGTGTGCATTTTCACTTTTATTGAAATCCTAAATCGATTATTTAAACTAAAACTAAAATTGATTCAGTATCAGTTTCCTACATTCCAGTAAAGGCCACATAGCCCTTTTTTTTCAGCTGTTTTCTTTTTCGTATTTGAACAGGCTAGACCAAAACATGCAACCGTGGAATTGTCCTGTGGACCGAAACTGGCTGCAACAAAATGTAGGTATCGCTTGGTACTACAGGGTGTTTTAAAAGTTCGTTCCCATTGGTTGATTCCGAGTTTTGCTTCGCTTAAGTTTCGTTGATTACTAAAACTAACCATTGTAAAATTACGAATGGTATTTCTTATTTATTTTTCATTGAATAGCAAATATATTAGCCGCCAGGATAGCCTCCTTTATTTTTTGGGACATTTATTATGAGGAAGTGTATAGAATGTGCGAGCTTCGTAAGCGTGTCTTAAGTTGCCTTTTTCCAGGAGAAGTGCAGTCGCTTTCTCAGCCGGTCCAGTGTTTTGGGGGCTAGATCTTTGTACGTTCTCTCGTCAAAGACACTCCACCTGTTTTAAGATCAGGTGAGTTTGCTGTACAGTCGTCCTTTTGTATAAAGTTTGGCAATTTCGTGTAAGACCGTGTCTGAGACGCTTCTGAATCGAAGTGTGCGCCGCTTCTTTAGCTTGAAGGCTTTCCAGCAATTGTTGGTCATATATCTTCATACCGTTGTGCTCGAAACTTTGATGTTGTGAAGTTAAAATTTTTTAGCAATCTCTCTCGTTGAATTATTATTCTTATCACTAGCTTTTCCGATTCAATTTCTCGCAAAGTTCGTCAAAACTAACGGCTGTGCACTCCTTGGTTTGTCTTCTTAAGTCTCTTTTTGACCACTTGTTAACCCTTCGTTCGGTCTTTTTTTAAGGATTTGGTAATTTCTTTGACTGAATGCGGGCCAGATGACAGTAAAAAATCTTCCTGAGCTCTAGCACAAACAGTTTCAGCCTTCATTTAAGTGAAAGAGCAGTGAGAATAAAAGAAAACGGCAATAATAATGGAAAAAAAGAACCTTCAGAATGGCGAGGGAAAAGCACGCGCGCGTGAGCATTAATGGCGCAAAATTTCAGAAACATAATTATTTCTTCAAATTTTAGTTTGAAATTGCTTTGAACAGTTATCTAGATAAATTTCTTAACTGAATGAATTTAAATTTGGCTGAAGAAGCATTAAATGCTGTATACAAAATGCAATTTTCAATTGGAACGAACTTTCGAAACACCCTGTATAGTAGAAGAAAATTAAAATAAAAAATATACTTAACTAATTGTTTGTAATAAACCAAACCTTAAAAAGGCCGCTGTCATCACTGAGTTTACCAAAATGTCAAGTGACACAGTTTTCACCCACGAAGAAGGGTCCTTTTGATTTTATCTCTATGAGGAAAAAAAAACGCGACAAAAAAATTAATTACTTTCGATTACATGCACATAATAAAGCAACGCGCTCTTTGGCGAAAACTTGGGCAGTCTTTGTTGATTGGAACTATACAAATACCCCTTAATTTATACCTAACGGCTAATTGACCGAAGAAGTGTACTGTAGCTAGATGATAATAAGGATTAGTATAGCGCTATTAAGAGTCTGCAGATCTAGCTGTTGGAAGAAAGCTGTAGGATAGGGAAAATAGGGGACGAATGAACTAATGACCAACGGCCAAGTGCTTTTAATTTTTAGTAATCGTTCAATCAGGCATTAGCAACTGACCCCTCCTTTGCGAAAACTGTGGCCATCATATGCTTGAGGATCAAGCGCAAGAAGGCATAACTGCTGAGAGGCAGAGACTATGAGGGACAGAGCGTATCCGTTTATGGAAGTCAAGAAGCTGAGAATAAAAACAGATGGGGCAGATGCGATGGTTGCTACGGGCTTGCATATAACACATACTCGCGCGGCCAAACTGGATGGTTTTGGACATTTTAAGGAGTAAAGCGACATACTGGTGACGCTTTGAGAGTGGATTTAAATTGCAGATCCAGTAAAGTGAGGTGGGAGGTAAATATGAAGACATTTGTCTGAGAAACCGTTCACCACAGCCGAGCAAAAAAATGTGTGCAGCAATCTTGGCAGTCCAGATTATTGGGTGGTTGTACGAACACATTTCTGTGAAGCAGCTGATGAGATTGTTCTCCAAGAAAATGTAAGATGCCTTTTAGCTTTTCTTGAGCTTTAATGTATCGTTCATGCAAGGAGTTGTCGAGACTCAATCATGGAGAAGCCAAACAGCAGCCAAGTATAGACTAGGATAGATCGAGGTCTCAGGCGGTGAGCGGAAAACATTATTTTATGTTTAAGTTTAATAATACTTGACCATCCATACAATAAAAATAATAAAAAGGTACAGTAAAAGATGGCAGGATAGCGGCAAAGGGAAACCGACTTCCAATTCTCCTTTCATAAACATGAACGCATTCAAAAAAAAACTTAGGCTAATATACTACAAAGATAACAAGATAAATCTATTTACAAGATAACATAAGGAATAAAATAATAATTATAAAAATAAAATAGAATTGATAAAAATATAGTAAGTAGAGGGTATGGCTAATAATATAACTTTCACCGCAAATATCTTAAAAGAGAGATGAAGAATTAGGGCTAGATTCACAATAACATTAGAAGGCGAGAATTCCAATCGCGGACGTAACGATTAAAAAAACTACTGAAAATAATTAGTACGAAAGGGCTGTTCGTGATGGACCTATCACGTCATAAAATTTGGAGGCGTCCACGTCGCAATACCCAAATAAAATCGTGTAAATTTTGGACCAGGCTTAGATATTTAGGCCTCAGCTCTAAGGAATCCGATTTTAACTCCCCTAATCCTTCTGTGTACTCCTTTTCACTCCCGCAAATTAGACGCGAAGCTCTCCTCTGCACAGATTCAATCGCATAGATGTCCTTAACCAGATAAGGATTCCATACGGCGCAAGCATACTCTAAAATCGGTCTCACTAGAACATTAAGAGCTGTGTCTATACTGACAGGATTCCCGAGACCCAAAGGTTCATTCATGCAGTGTGTATTGTGAGGCAGGCGTCGAGGCTTGTAGATGGTACTCATCGGGGCAGAATTCCAGGAACTAGCGTTGTGGAGCACTGAGGGTTCGTTGAGTCGAGATGGCTAAGAAATCTGCATGTTGACTTTCATCCGAAGCATTCAGGGGATCTCTCGATGCACTGGGGTTGGAAGTCGGTCGGATGCTAGGAACAAAGACATGAACGCGGTAGATCTTCAAACGAGAAAAAGCATCAGCAGGATTGTTCTCAGAGAACGCCCGGGAGTTAGATGACTGATATTTAAAGGCTATGGTGCCCATGCACAAATGAAGAATTTACAAAAAGCTTGGGTCATAACGTGGAGGCTTCAGCTACAGTCTCTCTGGCGAAACAAAGATGCGCCTGTTTGCGAGTCCTGGAGCCCATGCAGTGAGGGCAGCGAACGGGAAACAGTTTTTTGAACGCGATTGACCTGCGAGTATAGATGCTATAAATGCTACAAAACGTGCTGTAGAGGCACACCCCTCGACTATAAGCCCCAAATGCGAGTTGGCTCGCGTCGGTAAGGAATTCAATGAGATCATTACCACACCTGCCGTCCAGTAGTCGTCAGCGAAAAAGCTCTTGCCATTCCAAGTCCGAGGAAAGGCTCTCTACCACTGTAGATCGTTTTGAAATCACTGAAGAGCTGTAGATGATGATGGGGTGGCGAACTTTGGAAAGGAAAAGAAGGACTTATAACATTCGATAACAGAAGGGCCGCTCGGGGCGACAAACAGGACATAAAAGGTTCAGTTTGCCTTGCAATGACTGGATTTCTTGAGTACGTTGTTCCACAATTTTGGGCAAACAGTCGACGTTCATTTTAGCGATATACAGTACTCTACTTGGAATCCAGTTCTATGTCTGAGAGGGTGAGCCGGTTGACGGGTACTTGGAGTTTGTTGGGGTTGAGCGTGAAGTTGAGCAGCTGCCTTTCAAGACCGTGATATTGAGATTATATGCTGATAACTAGAGCTTGGAGGGAAGGGCAGTGCCGCATGTGAAAAAGTCGTCGAGAGTCAACACTATGAAGGAGCCTATATATTCCCCATTACAAAAGCAAGGCAAAGAAACTGGCCCGGAGGTGTTTTCCGACGGCCTAAACAGTTTGGTCCGGGAGAAACAAACTAGTGCTGCCCGTGGGCAATGTGGCAGCTTTCTTCATGTTTGTTTTTTTCTTCCCTACCCATAAAATAGCCATTAAAGGTGGTCATCGCCAGAGATTGTTATGTCTTTAACGATATTTCTTAACGTACCACTACTGTCGATTCGGTGAAAGTGTTGTCAGACGGGGCCTGTTTTTTCGTCTTTATCAGAGACGAACAGAAGGTTCAACCATTTGCAGACGTCAGGGAAAATTCTTGTCGAGCATTTTTCCGACTTTGAGTGATGGAGCGGTCAGGAATCAAACCGGCCCTACCGCTTATCAGAAGTCTGGTATCCAACCCCGTGTAAAAAAGTCAGAGTAATTGTATTGCAGCTTAGAGGTAAGGCAAGGAGTTGGGGTCACTTTTCATGATGAGCTTTCAAACTCTTGGTGTCTTTATTAAGTATTCTCTTGCCTTCCTTCTTCCGTAATAAATGATAGATCCTTTGAAAATACCTGATTGATATTAAATGACGTTGATTGTTATTAAATTTTCGGGAACAAAGGAACGTGTAATCTAGATGTGAGAAATTAAGTTCAAATTGAATTGAAATAAACTTAAGTTAACTTAAATAAAATCAAGTTAAACCAATATAAATCTGTGTGACGCTGTCGTTGACCACCTCCCATTCCCAACAAAAGTGGCGACCATGCCAAGACGAAGAGAACAACAATTGAGAGCGCGGAGAAAGCAATTGAACTATCATTACTAAGCCTTGTGGGGTTCAAAAATGAGGAGGAACACCAAGTGGCTAAAACTGGTGTCCTAACGCCACAACAGAGAAACGGTGCCAACTTATTCAACGAACATTTAGCCAATATATCTTCCTCAGTCCGGCTCCACCCCAATAAGATATTATTGCTGGTGATATAAACACCAAGCTTCCATCTGGCAGATATTACTGCTTCACCCCCTGTTTAAGGAGGTTTTGTCAGAACTAGTCTCCAGGAGGCATCTTCTGGCAAGAATACCGGGATTGACGACCTTAGAAGCTAACAACATCGGCTAAATTGACTTACCGGCATCACTGCAACCGGTTTATCTCTCTTTATAAATGGCCTTAAGGTGATTCCCTAGTTTTGCACTGCGCATCTCTTACTGCGCATAACAAGATGGCCGCCGTAAAAAAGAGTATGTGAAGTAATATTATTAAAATGAAGTTGACTGAAGAGAAACGCTATTGGAATTTTTGCTTGCTGTTGTTTCTTGCCGAGGTGAGACTCAATGTGTTGGGAATGTGCATAACGTAAGCAGTACGCGTGTTGCTGAGTTCGACCTCCTCTCGGAGAACCTCGATAGTGGATGTTTAACTTGTGCTTACTCACTTTGATTTTCATTTAAACACTTTCTTTATCACATTGTGTCCTAAATGTGATATCTCGATGTAAATTCTGTAAAAACGGATTTTTTAATACTTTCTTCCCCCTTTCACATACATTCTATTTTGAAACTCGCCCCAGTCCTCTCTCAAAAATCGGAGGAAATGCGTCTGGTGCGCACTTTCTGCAGCTCTACCGCAAAAACGAGTACGGTGACCCCCATTTTTTATTTCATGATTTTGATAAGGACAGTGCTTCCTTTCGATGAGAAAAAAATTGGCGCAAATCTATGTTCAGTTTTTTGGCAATTTTACTAAATGTACGGATTGAGCCATCACGGGTCGAAAAGCGCGCGTCCAATTTAATTCTACTTTGGAGCGCAAAGTAAAAACAAGGGCATTAAAAGGCATTTTTCTGGTACGTAAGTGGATAAACAATACATTAAAGTCAAATTCTGTGTGATGTCACGTGCATCATCGAAAAAATCTCTCCTTTTTGTCTAGTTTTGCGCTGCCCGCGGTTTTTGTAAAAGGGTCCTAAATAGCCGTATTTGTCAGCATTGTGACGTCAAAACGAGCACGGTGACCCCCACTTTTTATTACTTTTTTATCATCTTCTTGACTTGTTACATCAGTGTACCAAGTTTTAGCTAAAATCTATGTTAGGTTCTTTTACTATGGAATCACCTTAAATCGGCTTAGGGACCATACAAGGGAAAAAAGACACTATAAGTTAAGTGAGGTTAGCCGATTTTTATTTTAAGTCCCTTTTACACTCGTAGGCTACAGACACAATCGTTTTCCCCAAACAAATCCTTATAGTTCGAAGGTTAAGCAACAATGCCCATACTCATATTTCGAGCTTGGGATACCTGTCGTAAGCCCAGTGGTAATTTTGTAAAAATTGGTCAAAAAGGGTAACGAATGAATGAAATTCATTTCTTTGTTTTAGGAGATTTTTGCTGACAAAGCAACAGAAAGAAAGATTCTTTCCTTCGAGATAAGGTGTTCAAGTGAGGGTTGTCGGTGGACCGGCGAACTGAGGTCCAAAGATGTAAGTAGCGTTCCTTGTGGATGTTTCTTTTAGGGTGGGTGAACACTAGTTGGATAGGTTTCGAGTGGCTACCACTCATTGGGGTGTTATTTAAGTCGTTGCAGGTATAGTATAGAGCTAATTTTTTTGCACGGACAAAATATGTTTATAAAACGTTAAGATGATTTTATGTGATTGTAAACCTACAGAGAATTGCAATTTTCTTTGTACACGCAGTTTGCCGGTAACTGGCTGTAAATCACTTGCAGTCAAACAGATAACCAAAAAAGAATCGAAAACGACCACAAAAACAGCTTTTAATAAGCTGGATATAAACAAAGACATAAAATCTGCCTGAAACTTTTAATTCGAGACCGTACGCCGTCTACTTTGTGACCCATATGTTAGATACATTAGCACTACATCCATTTAATATATCAAAAAAAATAAAATGAAATAAATAAACAAACGAAATCTCAACAATAATTCATAATGTTACTTACTTTCCTCCGATCGTTTGTTCTTGAAGAGTCACTTGACATGTTGCCCTCATCATGTTGTGCCATGCACGAATCAAAACTGCTGTGAAACCGTGAAAAGGAATTTTCTGATGAAACACGTGAACAGCATCTGTCCATGGAGGATTCTCAGGTGCAATCACGGCTATGCGTGCCATCCAGAGTGTAAAACTAAGGTGAGAATCTCGATAAATTGTTGTTGTATGTTCGTGCGATGGGCCTAATCTCCTATTGACGTATATCTTCCTGTATTAGTTTGCCCTTGCAATATAACTTTATTTCATTGTGTCTGAAGGATCATCAGGCTGTCTGTAACAGATTTCCACTCAACTGTCATCAGAGCTGCGGAGCTGTCATTCCAAGAGAGGAGGTACGCCTTCTTTAATAATTAACTTAAAAACGGGTAAAGCAGGGAAGAGGTGTCCTGAGGTTGCAAATGTAATAATTGTTCACAAGTAAGCGGTAGGTGCCAAATGTAATTAGAACGCTAGTCACAATTCTCCTTCAGTCATTTCAGTCACACTTGTCTTAAGGGTCTAAATTGTACTCAGGTAAGTAACTGGGTAACAACTGTAAAAAAACATTGCGTGATAACTGGTTGAACTCGTGTCAAATAGCAGTTTATTGGAGACTGGTTTTTGCTCTCTAAAGTTACATAAATTCCTCTTATAAATGTTAGAGACTGGAGGAGACAAAGGCATCAACCTACTTGACAACTAAGTAATGTTACCTGTCTTTTCTAGCCTTTTACTGAGCTGCATACACTGAAGTTACATTTGCACAATCATTGCCGTTGTGACCCTTATCAGAACTTCTGTGATTCATTCGCCATTACAGTTATGACTTTTATTACATTAGCGACTCACGCTTTATTACAGCCTAGTGAACCTTTTTCAGTTTCTAACCGGTTCTTTTTTTAGCTTACTGGCTTACAGCAAGTAACGTTCTATGTCACCACCTGCGTAAGTCCGTCCGTCCGTCCGTCTGCTGAGTCATTTCTATTGTTCTCGTCATGCGGTAACTCGTATCCTTCGGGGCCGAAGGGACCGGGTTCGATACCTGCTATCTCCCAGTTTCAATTACAGGCAAACAATACAGAAATATTTTTGCCAAATTTCGATGTCAAATGTAACTTGAAACTTTGTAAGCTTACAGTCCTAGCATAAACGATAAAGTCTTCACCACACCATTTCAGAACAAGCTAAAGGGGCATTAACCGAACACCAAAAAAAAGAAATCATTGTAGGCCTTTATGGAGACTCGCTGTTTCCACTTGATTAAATCGCACACACAGTCCAGCAATACTGACAATTGTCAGAAGTAGAGCTTAAACGAAGCCGATATTCCATTCCCTGCGTGCAAGACTGCAAGAAAATCCTAGCTTTCCCCCATAAAATTAAACCTCTCCGTCGAACTTTTTTGGCCTGGTACATTCCTCCACTACTGTTCCAAAACATTCAGCATCGCAAAAAGGTGCTCCGTAAGAACAGAGCACGTTGTTATCCTAAGGTAAACAACACAGTTTGAAATATTATTTCATGTGGTGTCCTATTCTTGTCAACCAATTGTTGGATTCAAAGTCCCTCAGGTGGTTGTCATGCCAATCAGCCGTCGTGTCGAAAATCTGGACCAAGCCGATTGAACCGTGCTTGCGATTGGCTTGGCGCTAACAAACCAATAGCACTCTTCTCCAAAGAGTGCAGAATCCTTTGCCACTTCTTCGACATGTTCAACACAAACCCTACACAACGGTTGAAACTAGGGACTTTTAGCATCGACAAAGGTGACGGCAGCGAAAACGTCACTTTTAAAAATGATTTGGCGTTTTTTCCAACTTTGTCGCGTTTATTTCAATTCGCTGAAAATAGCTAATGTAGGCCAATTTCCCTGGAGAGGATTTCTTTGGGCGCACTCAAGTTTAGAAAGAGAAAGAAAAGTTTGTCGTCGCTTGTTTTACGTCCTCCATAAAACGTGAAACTACACATTTTCACGTCGTAGTCGTGCAGTAACGGCAAAGAAATGTACAAAGAAGCGTGATGCACGTGCAAACTAGGTGTTTTGCTCAAAAAACCTATTGCTTTTTTGACGTTCTCGTTGCCGTCGCTGTCGTCGTTGCTAAAACTCCCTACTGACATTTCGCGAACGGAGAGTTATCGCTCGTGTGTACTAGTACCAAATCTAAGCAGTCAGATGTCTTTTTCCGACGTTTCTTAGTTTTTGCACGCGAGTATTTCAGAATTACTTAAACCTGCTGCAGATGAAACTCGCATTTAGTTTGATGGATAGTCTTTGTGTGTTTCAAATGTGTGCTCTTTTGGTTTAATTTAACGACGAAAGTAGCCGGGGGCCATGCTCTGAGTAGCCGGCGGAAATCCCCGGCCCCCGGCCCTTAGTGACAACCCTGTAAAAAAATTCGGGAAATGCAGCCTGTATCAGCCTCCACATAATATTCCTAGACCTCCAAAGTGTTTCCCATTTTCACGTGTTCGTCGTTAGTTAAAACTGTCTGCCAAACGCGATAGGATAGTCACATATGCGTTTCGCTGAGTTCTTTTTATTTAACTCTCCCTTTTCTTCTGTACTTCATTTTTGGTACCACCCTTTTTCCCTAAGGATTCTGGCAACGACGATTAAAATTTGGGCGAAAGAAGCCTTTTCAACTAAGGCGCGAGGGCAAACACAGAAAGCCACGCGCTTTTGTCATGTTCTAGGTACTCAGGTTTTGTTTATTTGAGTGAAACAGGTTATGGCGTCATTACGTAGCTATGTTAACACATATGTCAAATGATAGCACTGGCCATATCTTCGTCTAATACGATTGTGGAGACCATTTTCCGATATCTTTGCATTAAGTGGAACCTCGATATAACGAACCTCCATATAACAAAGTCCTCGGTATAACGAACGATATTCTTCGCTCCATTAATAATGAGATATATGGAAAAAAAAACCTTCATATAACGAAACCTCCGTAATTTCTTTGCTTTGCCTCTGTCTGGCTATCAACAGAAAGCAAAAAACTTTTTACAGATCACCAGAGCCTTCAACCTGACGCAAATTATTTGTGAATGCACGAGAATCACCGACAAGACCTGATCTTTACTCGTTTCCCGTGTAGTACTAGTTGGTTTTTCAGATCATTGTGCTATTTTTGGTATTAGAAAACTTCACAGCTTAAAATTGCTCCCACCAAAGACAGTGAAGGCGAGAAATTATGAAAATGATGATCCTGAATTATTCAGAGCAGACTTAAATCGTATCCAATGGGATATCATTGAACTTGAATCAGACCCGGACAACGCGTGGAATTCTTTTAAGGATTTATTTATGACTGCACCTGATTGTAATGCTCCAGTAGTCAATCGTCGTGTGCGCGGGAGATCGTTACCGTGGATCACACCTACTATAAAGGACTTGATGAAAAAGCGCGATTATCATCACAAAAAAAGCCATTGAAACTAACAAAGAGCTTCACTGGAGCAGTTACAAGAAGGTTGCGTAACGCTGTGTCGACGAAACTTCGTAAGGAAAAAGCCAGTTATTATTCAGATCAGCTATGTGAAAGAAAGGACTCGCGTGTATTGTGGAAAACTTTGAACGAGCTTTTACCAAACAAGAAGCAACACAAAACTGCGAATGCCCCAGCCTCTGAAAATTTAACGGCAACTAGCTTTAATGAGTTTTTCACGTCAGTTGCTGAGAAACTATGTGGTCATTACAAAAGTAACACCAGGCTGCCGGTATTTTGACTCCTAGAGTTGCGCAAAACTTTGTTCTTCAAAAGGTGTCAAAGTAACTTTGTTTTGAAGGAGCTGACTAAACTCAAGGTGACTAAACCCTCGGATCCTGATGGTATCACTGCGAGACTTTTGAAGATGCAGCTCCAGTTATAGCTAAACCGATCACGTTATATCTGGTTAACCTTAATATTTCATCAGCACTTATTCTGGCTGAGTGGAAGGATGTAAGAGTAACACCTACTTTTAAATCAGGAGCAAGGAAAGATGTGAATAATTACCGACCAATCTCAGTTCTTCCCCTGGTGTCAAAGATTATGGAGCGCGCTATTCAAGTACAATTCTAACAGAACATGACTTTTTTTCAGGCTACCAATCGGGTTTTCGAAAGAAACACTCTACTGGAACTGCGGTAGTTTACCTCACTGACTATATTTTGGAACATATTGATAGGCAAATGATTACAGGAGCTGTGTTTATTGACTTGAAAAAGGCTTTCGACTTGGTCGACCATGAATGTTTGCTTTTTAAGATAGGAAGACTACAGAGTCAGAGGAAGTAGTCTGGACTGGTTCCGGAACTATCTCACCACACGAACTCAAAGAGTGCAATTTGGAAATGACATGTCCTCAAGACGAGCCGTCCGTTTTGGCGTCCCTCAGGGTTCAATTTTGAGGCCTCTGCTTTTTGTTTTATACATTAATTACCTGTCCCAGTGTTTAGAAAACTGTTCTATTAATATGTATGCTGATGATACTGTTATATATTTTACGGATCTTTGCACCTCGAAGATAGCTGGATACTAGATTATTTAAACGCATAAAAATTAGAATGCATGTATGCATTTTTCTTCTGGAAGCTAGATTTAACCTGTTTAGCACACAGAAAGTGTCATTTGAGGTGTTCTTTCGTAACATAATTCGAACTGCGCAGTTCAGTAGGCGTTGTAACTCTTTGCAACACCCCTCTGAGATTTCCACCCACGCAACATCAGCATAGTCAAATAATGGCTGCAAGAGTGAAGTGTATACCTGTTTAGAGGCTTCCAGTGTGAGGCATGATCGTATACGAGACAAAAGCCCTAGCCTCCTACTGATTTTGCTACTTACATACTTGACGTGACCTGTCCAAGAAAGGTTCTCATCTAAAACAACTCCTAAATAGTTAAATTTAGCTACTCTTTCTAAAGTCTTTCCGTATAGCTGTATACAAAAATTTGGTGATTTGGCAAGATTCTGCCAACTTCCAAAGAGCATTGATTTGTTTTACTCTGATTAAGTATGA